TACGAAAAGATTGTTAAATTGATTGCAAAAAATTATTTCTCACATAAAATTCAACATTAGCTATGATATAAAAGTTATATCTGTCTCGACCCTCATACTGCTTTGAACAGTTTAGAAACTAAACCAAACGTGTGTTTGCTGTTTTTTTATGGTATTTCTCAATAAATGAAGTAAGGAAACTTTTAAAGAAAGTACTAAAAGTTCAATGTGTAATTATATGCTGACGTTATTATTTTATATAAGAGTGTCTATATTGATTTATTTTTTATTACAGGTTTACAACTGTGCTCATGTTGGATACGTAAGTGTTTTCTTTGAATGAAATATCTCGTTAACTATTTCTTTTTTGTGCAGAACTTTGCATGTGTTAAAATATGTCGTTAACTTTCCCCTTTGTGTGCAGCTATTTTTCTCGTATTAAAATATGTCGTTAACTTTCCCCTTTGTGTGCAGATATCTATCACGTGTTAAAATATCTCGTTAGTTGTTCCCTTTATGTACTGAGACATTTCACGTATTAAAATGTTTCGCTAGTTGTTTCAGTTATGCTCAGATTCCTTTCACATATAAAAATATGTCGTTAGTTGCTTCCTATATGTACAAGCACATTTCACGTATTAAAATATGTCGTTAGTTGCTTCCTATATGTACAAGCACATTTCACGTATTAAAATATGTCGTTAGTTGCTTCCTATATGTACAAGCACATTTCACGTATTAAAATATCTCGTTAACTGTTCCCTTTGTGTGCAGACACCTTTCATGTGTTAAAATATATCGTTAACTGTTCTCTTTGTGTGCAGACACCTTTCATGTGTTAAAATATATCGTTAACTGTTCCCTTTGTGTGCAGACACCTTTCATGTGTTAAAATGTTTCGTTAACTTTTCCTATTTGTATGCAGATATTTTTCACTTGTTAAAATATCGCATTATTTGTTTCTTTATGTGCATACACCTTTCACGTGTTTAAATCTCGTTAGTTGTTTCCTTCATATAAAAGCACCGTTAACTTGTTAAAATATCTTATTAGCTGTCTTCTTTGTTTGTTTAAAAATTTAAGAGTGTTGATTTAAAGGTTTTATATGTTCATAATAACATCGTAATTTTATATCAGAATTCACAAGATACTATTTTAATATACCCAGCTTATTTAAAAATAAATGTACTTTTAAAGTGAATTGTACCAGCTGTTGTGTGCTTATTTATGATTAAACACCACTTGGTGATAAGTGTGTATTTAGATCACACAACAAAATATCACCTGCTTAAAACTAAAATTAAAAAAACCCCAGTCGCTATGTGCTTAGAACTAGTAGGTTAATATTTAGACCATACAGTTATGGTTTATAGAAGTAAACAGGCACATAACAAATTTAAAGATTGAAAATTCACATTTTATGTCTTGGATATTATTTTAATGGTAAAAACGTTTTGCTGTATTCGATTTGCCATGCTACTGCAAGAACACCATTATCACCGAGCACATTGTTTTATTTCAGGATCACGAAACTGAGGACTATAAGAACGTTAAAGTGAGTTTATAGCAAGTAATCAAACATTTATTTTAATTTGGGAAAAACACCTATAGCACACAATAAATGTTTTACTCTAAAAAGAAAATCAGCTCCAGACTAAAAATTATTAAGTTGAAATATGTTTTCTTTCATTAACTACAAACTTAAAGAACACTTTTAATTTCTGTGTGTTTTACCGTATATTAATATTTATTACGTGTTCAAACAGTTTATAAATTTTAGTGTTTCAACTAACTTATATTTATGTCAAGGTATCATAATGAACTCATCTGTTCTTCTTTTATTCTTGAAATGTAATTAAATATAATCTACTGTTGGAGAGCATTAGGAACTCTAAATACTAACAGTAAATTTTGTTTTTCGGAATTACATTTCAAAAATTTGACTAAATTAAACAATAATGATAATAATAAATTACACGTTTATGACTTAAATATGAAACTTTCCTCACCAATTTTATTCTTTTCTGTGCTATTCATTTCAGAAATGCATAAACAGAGCATACGCAGCCTGGAAAAGTGGAAACTTTTGAATCCCAAACCAGTGTTTTTATCACAATATAGTAAAAGACAGCAAATAGCAGCTGTTGTTGTTTTTCAGTAGAATTTCATAAAGTATTATGTTACTGTTCAGAAAATAATAATAATTGGTATGAAATAAAGTGTAACCTCTCTTATTAAAATGTTGTGAGCGCTATTTTATTATTTCGATGTCAAATTTTTAACTAACACAAGGACAATGAAAGGAAATGTTAGAAAACAATCACTACAATATTTTATTAAACTTAAATAACACTTGCAGATAAAAACAAACAAACTATTCATATAAGCTCCAACAAAAAAAAAGTAGTATAAATACCATATTTGCTGAGAAACGATTACAAATAAGTTTGCGAAAAGATCAACGTTAGACCACATATCTTGACGTAAACTTCTATCTAGCAAGAGAATCCAAAATAAGCCAAAAGGTTTGTTTCAATTCAAAAATGTTATTGGAAGCAATTTTTTTAAAACAATCAATTAAAAGAAATACAATTTTCGGTTATTCGATATTGTAATATTGGTAACTTTTTCTAACTTATGATCACAAAACGCCTACTAATGAAATTATAAGAACCACATGCACTTACTGTAATAACAATTAACACCCCATACCTCAAATATATTTATAGTAACATACTTAGAAACCAAAACGTTTTTGTTCAAATGAAGTCCCACACCTAATATATCAAAAACGTCAATAATTGTAAAAACCGAGATACTTTCTTGACATCAAAAGTAGAATAAATGCATGTGTGTGTGTTTTTTGTTATTCTCATAAGGTCTAACATCTCAAACACACTGATAATAAGACGCATCTATAAATCAAGCTCATTTCTTATCAGCACAAAGTGTTATACCGATAAGTTTCAATATTTCGTTCGTCCCATAACTACACCAACCACCAAACCATTTACAAATAAAACACATAATGAAAATAAAATTCAAATTGAACAAGATTATAAGGATTATTTAAAAGAAACTTTTCTCTTTCCATTAAAATCTTCCAGTTCTACCAACTTTCTTGTAAAAAAGTTGTGACCAATCATTTTTACTTCTTACTGAAATGAAATTACATCCTAAAAGACTTTTAACAAATAGCTTTATCTATCATTTTCACGCAAAATACACAAGGACTATTCGCGAATAACCGTCGCTAATTCTGAGTTGATAGATTAGAAGGAGGGCTAATCAAGAGCTCATATAGCCAACTCTTAGGCTTCTCTTGTCTCACTGAAAGTGTGGGTTGATTCTCACTTTTATAATAAATTAACGCTCAAAATATAGAGAACACTATTACGGCAAAGTATGCTAACCATGAACTCGTAGATTCTCTGTTCGGGTACGCTAACAACTGGGATACGCCCAACAGAGCGGACAAATATAGCTTACAAGTTAGTCTGACTCACTGAATCGATCATTTACAACTTCAACAAAGATTACTGCACACTTGCACTTTTCCCAAACTGTGATATAATCATTTTAATAGAGTTTGCCATAACGGGCTTTAATAAAAGTTAACTATCTCGGTTTTACAAAGAAATGGAATTCGTTTTCTACCAAAAAGTTTTGAGAGATAAGCATAAGATCTAATATTAACATTCGTTCCTAAAACTTCGTACAGGAATTTTTGTGTTTTATTGCAAATGGTAGCGAGTGCATGACGTTTCAATAAATTATGTCTGCGGACTTACAACTAGAAATCGGCTTTCGATATCTTCGATAGGCAGAGCACAGATAGAACTTTGTGTAGCTTTGTGCTTATCCTTAAACAAACAAACAAATAAATCAATATATTAATATATAAATGTTTAGAAGAGATCGTCATCTTCTCCCATTGGTGTAAACAAAATTCGAGCGACATTGAATTATGCCTTTCCTCAGTTTCCTAAAACTAGCTTACTTGTTGTTACACACAAAACTAAACAATGGACTATCTGTGATTTGACTTAAACTTTTTAATTGACGATGGTAGTAGTAGTATTTGACGCTTCTTTTCGGTTAGATATGTGCTCACCATGTTTTAAATGGGTTCATAGCCTTAGGCACACATAAGGTTCAGAAATAGTGTTACCATTTATTAAATAGGTTGCTAGTTTTAGGCACATATAATGTTTTGCTTCTAACTGTAATTTTTCTTTTCAGTTTCCTCACATAAAAAGTACTGTTACGACAGCGGAAGTCACGTGACGATAGGTGGCGCATTGGCGCTGGTGGCGCGCGTGATGAGTTTTTCGAACTATCGGGGAAGTCCGAGTATTTTGGAGATGCCCTCTTTTTTAGTATATAAGCCTGGCAGAAGAAAGCCAGCGCGGTGGAATATATGAATGAAGCGAGAGCAATAGTTACTTTGAGTTTCGTGTGATTTATGATTCTGTTAGTTTCGAGATAGTGAGCCATAAAGTGTGTGTTTTGCACTCGTCGAGAGCGAAGTTATCGAGATTGTAAATTGCTGTGATTTATAATGTGCATTATAAAAGTGGTTTTGTTTAAAGTGACGAGAAACGTACTGATTGTGGAACTACTGTGCACTAAAAGTTTGTATCGAGGAAGAATAAACTGGCTTAATCAGGAAAAGACTTGAATCACTGAAGATCCTCGGAAATAATTTCTACTGGAAACAAGCAGACAAACAGTTACTTAATAAATTGGTGTCAGAGAGTGGGACAGAAAAGGAAAAAAAAGATGGAAACGAGTGGTGGCAAAACAAACTACAACTCAGCAGATTTGATGGCAGCAATACAAGAACAGCGAAAGCAACAAGAAGAACGAGAAAAGAAACAAGAAGAGAGATTACAGCAGTTGTTGGACGAAAAAGAAAAAAAGAGAAGATACAGAAGTGGTTGGAAGAGAAAGAAAACAAACAAGAAGAGAGATTACAGCAGTTATTGGAAGAAAAAGAAAGGAACCAAGAAGCGAGATTACAGCAGTTGTGGTAGGAAAAAGAAAAGAAACAAGAAGAGAAACTACAGCAGTGGTTGGAGGAGAAAAAAAACAAGAAGACAGACTACAGCAGCGGTTGGATGAGAAAGAAAAGAGACTACAGCAGTGGCAAGAAAACCAGCGCCAGTGGCAACTGGAACAAGAAAGATAACAAAAAGAACAAGGAGCGAGAGTACAACATCAGCATGAGGTGCAAATGGAAAAAAATTAGTAAATTTAAAAGTGAATTAAATACATTAAAGGACGATTTACTGTCTTTTACATAGAGAGAATATATTAGCCATGGACCTAATCAGCTCCAGACATCAGGAAGCCCCTTCCAGACCCTGCAGCTAAGCCATAATGCAGACATCTTGAGTCATGCCAGATGTAACATTCCAGACATAAGTTTCAGCAATTGGGGTGATCTAGTACGAAGTAAGCTACAGGAATTCGATGAGAAGGCACCATGGGAAGCATATAGAGCACAATTTGAGCTACTGGCAGAAACGAATGGATGGACGGAAGAGCAGAAATCAGTGTACTTAGCAGCGAGCCTGAAGGGACAACCACTGGAAATACTTGGACAGTTGTCAGCAGACGACAGGCACAACCATAGAGCACTGGTAACTGCTCTAGAAATCAGGTATGGAACTCAAAAGCAGTCTGAAGTCTACAGGGCTAGGTTTAGGATTACAGTCCGTGCTAAAGGTGAGAGCCTGCAAGAGCTGGCACACAAGGCCTACCCAACTGCACCACCTGATGTTCTCAAGCTGTTGCTGAGGGATCAGTTTTTAGACGCATTGGAGAGTCCACAACTGAAGATACAAGTGAAGCAAGCATACCCATCTACTATGCAGGATGCAATGGCCAGAGCTCTTGAATTCGAATCCTACATTAAGTCCAGCACAGAGGTACCAAGGTTGGTACAGTCATCAAGATTCAGGGCCAGAATAGGACAGCTTTCAGAGAAGTTTGAGGGACTTTGCTGGCACTATAACAAGCCTGGGCACAAAAGACCTCAATGCCGGCAACTTCAACACAGGTAAGATGCCACGGCAGGAAAGGCTGCTACCCAGAAAGGTTGTTGGAACAGTGGAGAGCAAAGACATATGAAGAACCAGTGTAAGAAGAATACTACCAATAAGTCAGTTTCGGGGAAACCAGTAGTGGTTGGTATTGAGGGACACCCACCAACTCTAATCATGAAAGTCCCAACAGCTAAGTGGAAAATGGCAAGCAAACATAGTGTCTACGTGACCGTAAAACTGGATGGCCAAAATTGCAACTTTGTCATAGATTCTGCATCTCAGCAAACCCTTGTGAGTGTCAACGTGCTAGATCACAAAGTAGTACCAGAAGCCATACAGAAACTCTGTGGTGTGACAGGACATTATGAAAGTTTATGAGGACCAGTATGGATAACTATTGAGCTCATGGGCATGAAGGACAGACACAACGTATACTTGGCTGACATTGAAGACCAATGCATATTAGGGTTGGACTATTTACTACCGAGGAAGTGTATAGTTAATTTTGATAAAATGACGTTTGGGAACAACAAAAGCCAAATTCCGGTAAGTGTTGCTGCTTCTGTTGATTTGCATGTCACAGCACTTAAGTCAACTGCAATACCCAATATGTCAAAGAAGATAATTTGGGGTAGAATAAAAGAACACCCCCAAGGAAGCCCAATGCTTGTGGAAGTAGTGGAAGACCCATCTAGGCCAACGGATGTGAATATTGGAAGGTCACTTGTGGCAGGTCATCAAAAAAGTGGCCAATTTCTCTAAATGTGAGCAGACATATGTGAGCATTGTTGG